CATTCCAGATTATTATTTCCGAACATTCCAAAATGTTCCGAGATGTTCCCAAACTTTGGAACGCACGACGGATTTTGCTTTACATACTCCGTCCCAAAAAATATACCCACACATAGTGTTTTAATTCTCAAAAGTTCGGGAGAATTTAATTTTCGAATCAAGTTCGAGTTACACACAAAGTACAATAAAAATTATTATGATGATGATGAAAAGTGCAAAATAAAAAATACAAATGTCTAATTACCAATTTATTCGTTGAAGGCTGGATCAAGACTCTAGTCTCTCATATTTACAATACAAACAAATATATAATTTAAGATGAGTGGTTGTGTGGGGATAAGGAGGGTGGAAAGGGTGAGTGGTGGAACAACAGTATGTATTGTACATATGTATCTGTACATAAGCGATTACAAATTTACAAGAATCTATTGCACGAAGACATAAATAGGTAAAGATAAGGCAGGACAATAGAACCAGAATAAAATGTAAATTTGGGAGTATTGAATCGTATGTCCTGCTGTGTTCAAGTAGAAGAAAGCAATTGTAATTTCATTTTAATGACAGGAAAGTTTGCTATTAGAAAAACCTAATTTCCTGTGATACAAACATCTGTTGTGATCCTGAAAGCCTATACAAACAGATTACCTGACTATCGTCTATAATAATGTAGGGATTTTTCGCGATCAGTGACGCGAATGTTTGGTTTAGTTCGGGTTAGTGCGCGGGGCGAGGGAAAAATTGATAAACAAATGATCGGTGACGCGTACGGAAGGTGTGAACAACGGGAGTGGACGACGAACCGCGAAACTAAGAAGACCAAAAGTAAGACGATTAAGACGTTACGGTTAATTTGCATTTTGTTTATATTCTTTCATTGATTGTTTTTTTTATTGTGTTCATTTTCTTAATTATTAAAAATATCGTCTGCCTACTACATTAAATCCCACAATAATAGTTTGTTAAATTCAAATATTGATATGATCTGAACACCGGGAGTCGAACTCGGGCCCCTCGTTTTACGCACCAGTACTCTATTCACGATCAAAGTACCACGAGCCCGGGTTTGATTCCTGGCAAGACCGTGATAGCAGGAACAATTTTTGCTCATTCATTTGAGGTTATCTGTAGTGGGTAAAATTAATTCATTAATACAATAATATAAGTTTTAAAATTTTCATAGTAATAGTATGATAGGTACTTTTGACAGCAGAAGATTGCGAAGCAGACCAGTAAATTACGCCATAACTTACCGTTTACTATCATACTTCAGACGTTAGATAAGGACTTTTTTCCTTTTACCTATCCAACAGAACTCATATACGTGATAGGCACAAAATTAATGGTGAGATTGATAAGAACTAATAAGTTCGAAATTAACATCCACGTCTCGATAAATTGCTGATCAACAAATTAATGTTTATTTTCTTAACTGATTTTTTTAAAAATAACTAATGTTAAAAAGACTGTCTGAACAACCGTCTGGCCAAAGGTCATTTCATAACTTTTCTTAGCAAATTAAAGCTTATGGTGGCATAGCGCTAGCATAGTGCCAACTATTTTTGTCAATTTTGAAAATTATAGTATTTATTATTAAATTATTATATTTGCCTTTTTCATTGGCGCAGTAAAGGGAGAGGTCAGGTGGGCCAGGCCCACCCTAGAATCCTCCTGGTTGCATCGGATAAAAAATTTGCTAGAAGCATCATGAGCGATTCTCAAATTTATCCATAAAAAATTCATTTTTTAAAAATATATGTCCACCAGAAATAATGTAAGATTTTACGAAAAAAAAATGCTCTTGATTAAGATAAATGTGTGGAATGAGAAGTTTATTCATTTACACAGTTCACTTATTAAAATAGTGTGAAGTGCGTGTTGTGCAAGAACATTCTTGGAAATTAATTTAACCAAGGAATGAACAGCACTATTCACGTACAGATCTCTTAGGATTCATGTTATTTCTTTGATAAAATTTTTCATTTTCGATGACTGATCACTGACACCAGTTTACAACAAACACTAATCGTAAATCACTAAATATTAAATATCAGTTAAAAAATGAATAATTTCACCATTTTGAAGTTTTTAACGACTTTACAAATGGCGAAACTTCGGCAATTGGACGAAATTGAGGTATAAATCTAGCATATTGTAATATTAATTTAAAATCATTTTTTTCGATTTTTTATTTACCCACTACAAACTACCTCAAATTAATGAGGGAAAAATTGTTGCTGTTGTCACACCGTCGCCGGGAATCGAACCCGGGACCTTTGGCTTTACGCACCAATGTTCTGACCACTAAACTACGAGAGGTGACAACAACAACCACGACCAACCGACCTACAAGGTTAACGATCCGTCGAACTAATGTAACTATATACTGAATATACTATGATTAAACATACATATAATTTAGATATCTTTTAGAAGTGAGTTAGTTTAATATGAAATATTATTCTGAAAATTCATTTCTGAATTTTTTACCCACTACACGCTACCTCAAATTAATGAGGGAAAAATTGTTGCTGTTGTCACACCCCCGTCGGGAATCGAACCCGGGACCTTTGGCTTTACGCACCAATGTTCTGACCACTAAACTACGAGAGGTGACAACAACAACCACGACCAACCGACCTACAAGGTTAACGATCCGTCGAACTAATGTAACTATATACTGAATATACTATGATTAAACATANTTTTATATATATTACGCGGAGGTGTGACAACAGCAACAATTTTTCCCTCATTAATTTGAGATAGTTTGTAGTGGGTAAATAAAAAATCGAAAAAATGATTTCAAATTAATATCGCATATTAATCTACTATTAAGTAACTAACAATGTTATAGGATTTCATATATTTAATACTAACATATTGTATACATAAATAAGTAACTCGTTACGTAAAGCTCAAAATAAATATTTATGCACTGACGGGTAATAGTCTTTATAACAAAGTAGTAAATAATAAACAAAAAAAATACCTTTAACTCTACGGCGTTTGAATTACCATGAAAGTAGGAACTGCAGGTAATATTAGAAACAGCAGACAACACTTTTCCCTGATTAGATGTAAAACTGCTTTCAACTGTTATACTGTATGATGTCGAAAACATGGAGGTTTTAGGTATTGAAATACTTTTTAAAAATGACATTTATCAAACAGTTAACTGGTATTAATAAGAAATTTAAAAACTATTTTATTTTAATAAAGAGGATTTCACTTTTGAACAGATACTATACGTATTTTTTAATCTGTTCGAATAAATATTACATATTTGCAATTTCATTGTAAAACTTTGAGCAAAATCTGTTTCTTTTTTTTTTAATTAGAAATTTTTACTTGTTACAGAAAATAATAATGTATAAGTACTTCTGAGTATGGTATGTAGTTAGTCGGGTGTTCTGTTATTCACTGATAATCACTTTTAAATTAACACCAGTAATTTTAAAATCCAAATTGCTAAACTATTTGAAGAACATTCAACGCAACTTTTAATTTTGAAAACACATTCACTGTTAGAGATACCCGTTCATAATAATAACCCGTCATTTTATTGGGCAAATGATTTTATAAAGATCACACTCTGCAGATTTGTTAAACGTGAATATGGTGAATGAAACAACTCACGTTAAATGATAACTAAATTATATCCATTCCATCGTCAGTACCTTTAGTGCCTTATGAAGCATGAAACGAAACCTTAGTTCATACTTCAATGAAAATCTTCTCAAATTCTTGTTAACATGATCTCTTTTACTGGGTTACCGAGCATATATTCGATAACAAAATACCAACGTAAGAAATCGGCTTATTTGAAGATATTTAACACGAGGTGTACGAGGGTGGATTGATAAGTTTCCGGCCTGACCAAGAAAAACAAGGTTTTTAAAAATTTTTTTTTTTTATTTCTCAACATAATCTCCTCCAAGGCTGATACATTTCTCATAGCGGTGTTCCAGTCTATTAATGCCATCTCTATAGACTGATTCGTCAAGCTCCTCAAAATAACCATTTACAGCTTCGATTACTTCTTCATTGTCCGCAAATCTCTTACCGCCAAGCCATTTTTTGAGATTAGGGAACAGAAAATAGTCACTCGGGGCTAGGTCTGGAGAGTAAGGAGGGTGCGGCATCAATTCAAACTTTAGATCGTTGATTTTAGCCGTCGCAACGATTGACGTGTGCGCTGGTGCGTTATCGTGATGAAACAAGATTTTTTCTTCGCCAGATGAGGTCGTTTAATTTTCACCTCGTGGCTCAAACGTTGCAATAAGTCTGCGTAGTATTGACCAGTGATAGTATTACCCTTTGCAAGGTAATCAATGTATATAATACCTCTTGCATCCCAAAAAACAGTAGCCATAACCTTGTTCGCCGAAAAAATTGTTTTTGCCTTCTTTGGAGTTGGTTCCCCTGGTCCAATCCACTGTTTAGACTGTTCTTTGGTTTCAGGAGTGTAGTGGTGGACCCACGTTTCGTCAACGGTTACGAATCGACGCAAAAATTCGCTTGGATTACGCTTATACAATGACAAATTTGCGGTAGAAATGTTTTTTCGAATCAATTTTTGGTCGACTGTTAGCAAACGCGGCACCCATCTTGCACAGAGCTTTTCCATATGCAAATGTTGGTGCAAAATATGTTGCACACGTTCATATGACATCTTACAGGTCTCAGCTATCTCACGCACTTTCAATCTGCGGTCTCCCAGCACTATTTGATGAATTTTTTCGATCATATCTGGAGTTGTGACCTCAACGGGGCGTCCTGAGCGAGGCCCATCAGAGGTGCTCACACGACCCTTTTTAAACTCGGAAACCCACTGCTTAACGGTTGAATATGACGGGGAGGATGTCCCCAGTGTTGAGTCCATCTCTTTTTTAATTTCCTTCGGCGTTAACCCCTTCAAATAAAAGTATTTGATGACAGCACGATTTTCCTGCTTTTCCATTTTTACGAAAACCACAGAGGCGTCTTGTTCAGCGTGCTGTCAAACCTACACTAGCAAGGAGATCGGGCTGAAACTATAGCTACAAGCTATCCAAGGATGGTACTATAGAATGTCACCTCAAGGTAGGCCTAGTGGCGTCATCTCTTGGTTAGGCCGGAAACTTATCAATCCACCCTCGTATTTTACATCATGTTTAACTAGACAGCTTTACTGTAAAAAAATATCGAAATATAGGTACTCCGAAAACAAAAGTTATTTTTTATTTGTTTTTGTTTTATTGTAGGCCAACGACAAATTCTTGTTAACCATTAGCTCAATTAATTATGTGGCGCAATTTATTGTATTGGGATAGTTTTTTTTTTAAACCTTGTGCGTACCTTACACCATCATGATAAATTAATGTTGAACACGAAAGATACACAACTTACTCTCTCATTTCTGAATGTTAGGGGACTAGACGATGTGGAATTACTAATTGAATCCATTTTATATTAACGCTGTTTCTGTACGATATAACACAAAACTGCACGGAATATACACCTCATTATATGTCGCAAACGTATATGACTTTTGTAACTTAAACAGGTTTCTATGTATGTAGATATCTGTTACATGCGCTACAAGGAGATAAATAGAGAGATTCGGACATACTGAAGACCGATTTCCAGAATAATAACAAATGATTGCTTATATTTGTTTACCCGTAAAGTGTGATAAGATTACGTACTTTCCATTTAATAACACATACATACACGACATACAATATATTTTATGTGTTAAACATATATTATATGCTTGACACATAAACACATAAATGCATGTAACCAAAATTAAACTTTTATTAAGTTATCTGCTGAAAAATAAAGGAACAAATTAAACATACGACAACCATACTTTCAGGTAGTAGGTAAGCATTATTCTTTAGATTGTAAGGATTAACAATAAAAGTGATGCTTGGTCTTTACCTCCAATAAAAGTTATCATGATTCATATTTAACACAATATTATTAACTCATTTACACAACGAAGACTTCTTGCACATGTGGGGAAGGGAGAAGTTTCTACCTCTGCCTCATCGTAAGATAAGCGAAACACGAAACGACGAAACATGAACGACGCATTGTTTGTGCAGTTGTGACTCGGCAGTCGAAATAGTAGATAAATAAAAGCAGACATAAAACATCGTGGTACCCTTGACAGGGAAACGAAAAAGACGAAACGTCGGGAAATAATTTCCAAAATCAACGATCACAAAGCCCGAAAACAAATAATAATAAGGTAAAGGTCTAGATGGGATCGAAAGAGGCGGCTGAAGAGGACCCTAGTTGGTCCTAAAACGGCCTGAGGTAGAGGGGTTTTAGTCGGTAGGTCCGAGGACTTCTTCCTCGGGAATCCGACACTACCCAGTCGTACGGAGGGCTGGGTGTCTTCTGAAGATTTCCCCTCTTCCACGAAAACATAAAAAAAAAAAATCGAAAGAGGAGGTCTCCCCCACCACTGTACCATAAAAAGTTCGTGACGGTCTCACCCCCATAAAAAATTATACGGGTTCAAAGTTTATAAATAAGCCAATTTTTATACATTTCTAGGCATGTAAATATTTATATAGTGTAAATATTTAAATAGTTATTCTTAAAAAATATTCAAAGGTAAAACTAATGAAAAATACATAAAAATATTGAGAAAGTTATATAAAACATTATTTAAATAGCTTTATCAATAGGGTAGGTTAGGTTAGGTTATGGGGTTTTGTTCAACCCATCCTCTTTCGATTCCCCACTTCCACCCGCTTGAAAATATTTTTTTATTGAATTTTCTTTGAATTATAGTGTATGAAAATTGTCAAAATAATCAACTTTCAGCCCCCATAACTTTCTATGGGGTGAGACCGCCGAAAATTTTTTATGGGGTTTTACTTAGATGACTACCCTCTTTCAATCCCCCTTACCCTCTTTCGATCCCCCTACCCTCACCCCCATCTTACCCCCATAAGTTTTTATGTGAGACCGCCATGATCTTTTTATGGTACAGTGGTGGGGGAGATCTCCTCTTTCGATCCCTTCGGGGGTGGGGCCATCTTTTAGACATTTACCAATAATAGTACTGAGGACGCCCGCCGTGAGTAATTATATTTCTGTTGAACATTTCCCTTGTTCCATCATCAAGTCGTTCTTGGGTTTTTTTTAACTCTAATAAGAAATCGCAACCATTCCAAATATACTTCAGTCTCGTATCACTGCTTCTCTGCTCGATTGGATACAGTCATATTTATCTAGTACAACTCAGAGACTAAGATATAGTAATTGCTTATCTGATCCTATTTACTTGTGTAACGTTTAAAATTCCTCAGGGCTCTTGGTCTACTTTTATTTAACTTCTACATTAATAATATAAATATGCAACTTAGTAGATAATGTTGAAGTTCTCATATATGAAAACAATCTAAAAAATATTTAAGATTATTGTCTCTGGCTCAAGAATTCAACATCCTTTCCTCCACATACTGATTATCATTTAAAACCGCCACCCGCATTTACTTATGTTTTTCACTACCTGCATTCTTCCCTATAATATCTGAGATTCCCGGTCCATAGTGGAGTCCTCGTGAATTCTAACATGTTTTTTATCAATCCCGTGTAATAGTCCATTGCAGAAACCAACTTTCCCCAGATGACGTCCTTAAATGTCCAAATTTATTTTTAAAAGATGCCTATTAGATAACGCATATATGACTATTGATTTTTATGTTTAGCAATTGTATGTTAATGCAAAATTAATAACGGTAGTACAAAGCGCGATATATAGGTACATCAAAGTTCTATTAAAAGTAGAGTTCTACTCGCTGAACATGTTCATTAAAGTAAAATGCAGAAGAAAGGGAAGGACATAACTATTAAAAAATTCATCATTACTGTAAAAAAATAATATTTCATCAAAGTAAATTGACGATAAAACAATTTGTTTAACAATAATGTTGACAATAAATCTTTTAAAGTAATTTGGAACTTACAAATACAAAATTTAAAAATGCCTATTGAAGTAGCCTAATAATTAGGTAATAAATACATATTTATGATGCAAATTTTGTTTAAATGAAATATGAAAATATTAATTGTGCATGTTGATTCATCATCACAAGGGCGTCAGTCCTAAGACTGGTTGGACACGCACATCCACTATTCTGAGCTAATCTTCGCATTTTCCTAAAACTAGAACAATATATATTCTTAACTGTTTGCGAACAATAATCTAATCTAGGTCTACCTCTACCCCTCCTAACTTCCATTTCTGTCTCTAATATATCTAATTAATAGATGATTTATTAAACAAAGTAAAACTTATTGAAAGCACACATATGTCTTTTTTTGGTATATAAACAGGATATAACTATATATAAATCAAAAGCAGACAGCCAACCTACTTTCTATATAAGTAGTTGGTACGCCTCTTACAAATATTTAATTCAAGAAAATATTCTCAACGCCCACTATTTTATTAAATATCAAAATTAATAGAATAATATAAATAAAAAAGTAAAAAAATTTTACATAAAATAATTCATATTGCTGCAGACTTGATCACGTTGCGTGTCAAAAACATATTTTGGTAAAGGTTTTATCAGTATGTCTGCTGTCTTCTGTAGAGTGTTGATGTATTGTAATTCAAAAAGTTTTTCTTCATATTTTTCTCTTATATAATGGTACTGAACCACAATATGTTTTGTTATCTCATGAAAAACTAGATTTTTGACAAAGTCCAGTGCTCTCTTATTAGCTATTAGAAGTGTAGTGTTAATTGAGCGCAGGTTATAAAAGTCGTTAATCAGTTTGTGTAGCCAGACTACTTCTTTTATTGTTTGACATGCCAATAGTTGAGCGTCTGGTCTCAAATTCACCAGCAAATTCTGAATCACAATGAACATCCAGAGATAAATTTTT